AATGAAAAGGGTGAAATTGCAATGAATCCTGTGGAAATCCAGAATACCATCAGTACTTTCAAGAAATGTAAACAGTACTGCATATTGTAAGTCGTTGGAAAGCAGAAGAATTGACAAGATTCCTAGATACATAGAAATTGCCAGGACTGAATCAAGAAGTTATAAAAATTCTCAATAACTGAACATGTCAGTGAAATTGAAAATGTAATTAAAAATTTACCAACGAATAAAAGTCTAGGTCCTGATAGATTTACTGCTGAATTCTACATGAATTTAGGAGATTTAATGCCACTAGTGATGAAACTCTTCAAGGAAATCAAAAGGGAAGCAATACTTCCAAAGTCTTCCTATTGGCAAGTATTACCCTGATACCAGAACCAGGGAGAGATCCAACCAAGAAAGAGAACTACAGGCCAATCTCTCCAATGAACACAGATGCAAAAATCCTCAATAAGATACTGGAAAACAGAATGCCGTAAATCATGAAGAGGATTGTACACCTTCAACAAGTAAGATTCATTCCAGGGCTGCAGGGATGGTGTAACATCACTGGTCATGTGAGAGATGCAAATTATGGCAATACTGGATTCTATCTCACCCCAGAAAAAATGGCTATTATCAATACATCAACCAATAACAAATGGTGGATGGTCTATGCTGAAAATGTACGTTCTCAATTGTTGGTGAGAGTGTAGACTGGTGCAACCATTGTGGACATCAATGAAGCACATTCTGAAAATACTAGGATTAGAGATTCATTTGATCCAGCCATTCTCTTTCTGGGTATCTTCCTGAGAGAATTAAAAACATCCTACCACAGCAATATAGGCACACCCATATTTATAGCAGCACAGCTTGTAAAATAGCTGAATCTTGAAAACAACCAAAATGCCCATGAACCAAGGAATTAAGAAAGATGTAGCTTTCAATACACTGGAGCACTACTCAGCCATAAAGAGGGATAAACTTGAGACATTTCTAGGTAAATGGATGCATCATGAGACTATACTCTTAAGTGAAATAAATCGGATTCACATGTGTAAACATCACTTCATTACTCTGGTGTGAGGAACCAAATGTGTAAATAAGGAGCAAACTGTATAAAAGATATTTTAAAGTAAGAAGAAATTATTCGAAAAAAAGAAACCAGGGAACTAGGAAAGGAAAGGGGAAAAGGAAGGAAGGGAAAATACGAGTATTAAATGAGATAATTTGGACACACATATTTAAATATCACATCATTTCTCTAGTGGGAGAAGGTGAAAAGGTAAATAAAGATCAAACTCTGTAACAGGTACTGGGACAACAAGAAAATATTCAAATGGTAAGGGGAACCAGGGAAGAGGGAGAGAGAATGGAAGGAAGATAAAAGAAAACAAGAATAGAATGAAGAAATGGAAGCAAAGTTCTGTAAATTAGGATGGGAGTAGGGGTTGAAGGGAGGAGAGGGGTTTTGGGAAAAAAATGAATCAACAAAAAACCATATACAGGTACAAACTTCTAATGAATGTGATCATTATGTATATCTAAAATGTACCAGTAAAATTAGTAATAATAAAAAAGTGTAAATGAAAATAAAACTGTCTGAGTAGACAGTTGGAGAAGAGAAAATAACACGATACAGGCTTTACCCTCCAGCACAGAAACAAAGCTACCATCACCTTCCTCGGACTACTTCAGTACAGCCCCCTGGGTCTTAGCATCAGTTCTGTCTTTATCAAGAAGCTTTGGGTCCTGAACTTAGTACCCAAAGGTGCACACTCCCACAGCTTCCTCTGAAGTCACATGAGGAACGCATCTTTACTTATTGCCACAGTTTTGTCTCCTTAGTTCTTAACTGGGGATTGTGCAGTAGAATACAAAGACAATCATCCCTTTTCCCAAGACTCCTGTTCTTTACTCTCTGAGTAAAGAGCATTTATTAAGATCATGTAGTATAGGATGTCATAAATGGTTTGCGTTATTGAAACATTACTAATGGGAAACAGATTCTTTTGGGGGTAAGCATGAATCTTTCTCAAGTTCTCAGTGAGCCTCTGTTTGCTTAGGCTTACTGTTGCCTATCTGTGTTTCTAAGAGTGACATGAGAGTCCCGGGTCCTGTGTGTATGGAGTACTGTACCCAATCACACTGGGATGTCCTTCTCATCTCTGCATTATGCACACACTTCAGGCCACCTCATTTTGCCTGTCTCACTCTCTTCCTCCTCTTGATCCGACTTACACTTTTCTGCCTTTGATACATTTTAACTCTTTATCTTTCCCCTTCGATATCTTCAATAGCTCTTTTCTTTCTTCTCTCCTCCGTGTCTTTCCTCTTCAACCTTCATCTGGGTTTTGCTTCTTTTAGGACACAAGAGTCACTGTCGAGAAGATGTGTGAATTCTTGGGAAAGAAGTTAAAACCAGAAGAAATAGATTTAGTCCTCAAGTATAGCTCCTTTCAATTCATGAAAGAAAACAAGATGTCCAATTTCTCCATG